TGTGATATTTTACAAAACTAATTATATAATTTCATATAAAAAATATGATTATATGAAATATTATATAAGAATATTCTTATAGTGTATATTATATTTATAATATGAAATCTTGTTTATTATTTTAATATTTAATAATTATCAAATATTTTGTTCTAAAAATTATTTATTTATTAAGCTAAGATTGAATTTAGCATCAGTTTTAAAGAAAATAAGAATATTGAAGAATTTTTCATGATTAATCAATTTCTGAGGCCTAATTAAAAATATTTTTTGTAAAATTTTACAAATAAGCAGCATCATATTTTAATCTTAACCTAACTATGATATAAATAGTTTTTCTTAATTTTATATACAACTTTTTACTTAAAAAACAAGCATATTTGTTTTGGTTATCACATTATAATTTTAAAAATGCTATTAAAAATTACTATCACTATTGATAAAAAATTAGTAAAATCATATATTTTAATAATTGAAATAATTATATTATATTAATATAGGATAGATTTTATATTCATATGATTTTTTAACTTTGAACAAAAGATATATTTATGTTAAGGATTGAGCATATATATTTAGAGTTTAAAACTGTAATTTATTTGATATAAAAAACTAAAACAAATACTACATTTTAATAAATATATTTTATATATTATTCAAATTTCATAATTTCTCTATTAATACTTTTAAACATAGAGTTATCTCTAAAAACTATACCCTTTATAATTATAATAATCTTTTTATGTTCAATTTTATTTTTCTTATATTTTGAATTACTATCATAAAATTCTTGTTCAATTTGTTTAATATTACTGTTATCTTCTTGTTTTATTTTTTCGATGTCTAGTCTCTCAGTAACAATATTAACATTATAATTATTAATATTATAATTATTATTATTATTAGTGTTTTAATAAAATAATTAAAAAAATTATTTATAATTAACTTTGTAGTATATAAAATAATACTCTAATTTTAGAGCTTTATTTATTGCAATATTAGTATATTCTAATGAGTTAACTAGAAATTTTACATAGGGCATTGATCTTTCTACTAAAATAGATGCAAATTTTCGAACTTTTTTTTCATCATACTTGTTCTTGAATCTATATTTACAAGTAATAATAAATTTGATACTGTATTCACTCTATAAATTGTATTTATTATTTTAATTATAAAGAAGAAAATATAAATTTACTTTTATTCAAACAAAAACCTAATAATATTTTGATATTTTTTTACTATTTATATAATAAATCTATCCTATATACATGAAAAAAATAAGTATTTTATATTATCATCATATCTTTTCTAGTTCTATTTATATATACTACTAAAATAAGTTTTTAAAAAACTTTATTTTGTCTCTATTAGAGCAAATTAGAATTTTTTATATATAAAAGCAAATCTAATTTAAATAATTATGTTTCTTATAATTTTGTCTCTTTAAAAAAGTATCAAAAATTTTGTTTTTAAATAAATTAAATCAAAAACAATTTTATCTTTAAATTTTAGGATCTATACAAATAATTATACAGGTTTAGCAATCATTAACATATATTAAACAATCATACTTAGTAAAATAAACTTACTTGTTTGCAAGAAAATGATCCTTCTAATATATTTTTTTAAAAAACCAAAAAAAAGAATAATTGAATAAACGAAAAGTCAAATAAGTAACTAAGTGAGCAAAGAACTAAATAAGTAACTAAATAAAAGCAAAACTAAGTATACAAAAATCAAATAAGTAATTAAATAAGTTAAAACCAAATAAGTAACTAAACAAGAACAAAACTAAGCAAACAAAATATT